CCCCAGTCCTGTGTCCTGGAGCCCCAATCCAGCCCCAGTCCTGTGTCCTGGAGCCCAAATCCATCCCCAGTCCTGTGTCCTGGAGCCCCAATCCAGCCCCAGCCCAGTGCCCCCGGAGCCCGTCACGGATGAGCAGCTCCCAAAGCCGTGTCCCTGTGCACTGGGCTGGAAGGAGCCCGGGGATCCAGGGGTTGATTTTAGGCCATAGCTGCTGACAAAGGCAGGCAGAGAGATCTGCCCCCCACCCTCCCTTCCCTCCCCTCCCAGCTCAGGCCGTGCCCTGGGGCTGCTCCAGGCGGGATTTCAGCCCTCGGGAGGGAACGACAGCCCCTCCCTGGGATGTGTTTTTGGCAAAAGAGGCCGAACAAAAGAGCTTTGAGTGGCCTGGTTGTGAGGGAGGGATTATCCCGGAGCCAGGCCCCTGCCCTGCTGCTCCCTGTCTGCAGGGACCCGTGTCTGCCCGCAGCAATCAAAGCTGCTGCGGCTTTAAACCGGGCTTGGGGTTAATCCCAGCCGTGTTCCCTGGCCCAGCACTAATCCCAGAGCCCGGAGAGGGGGGTTGGATTCATGGGATTCAGTGCCTGGACCACCTGCAGGCAGCAGGGCAGGGCTGGGGCAGCCCCTGGGGCCGCTCCTGCCCTTCCAGGGAGCTGATGGAAAAAGGGAGAGAGGCTTTGGCACGGGCAGAGAGGGATAGGGCAAAGGGGGGTGGGTTTAGACTAAAAGAGAGGGGTAGGTGGGATTTTGGGAAGGAATTCCTGGCTGGGAGGGTGGGGAGAGGCTGGGATGGATTTCCCAGAGAAGCTGTGGCTGCCCCAGCCCTGGAAGTGTCCAAGGGCAGGTGGGAGAAGAGGAGGCTTCAGGGAGAGCTAAGAGCCCCTTCCAGGGTCTGAAGGGGCTCCAGGAGAGCTGGAGAGGGACTTGGGATAAAGGATGGAGGGATAGGACACAGGGAATGGCTTCAAAGTAAAAGAAGGGAAATTTAGATGAGATATTGGGAAGGAATTCCTGGCTGTGATGGTGGAGAGGGGCTGGGATGGAATTCCCAGAGAAGCTGTGGCTGCTCCATCCCTGGAAGTGTCCAAGGCCAGGTTGGAGCACCCTGGGCTAGTGGAAGGTGTCCCTGCCCTTGGCAGGGGGTGGAGTGGGATGATCTTTAAGGTTCTTCAAACCCAAACCAGTCTGGAATTCTTTTATCTGCCTCCTCAGCATCCCAGGGCCATCCCAAGGCTGGGTTTCAATCCCAGACAGCAGGACATTGATCTCCAAGGGCTGTTTTGGCTCCAGAGCTCTGTTTATCCAGCCTGTCCCGGGTGCTGCAGGGGGAGAATCCCCCCCTTGGCCTCTCCCTCGCATCTCCCGCTTTTCCTGCTGCTGTTTTTCCCCCTTTCCTCCCCTCCAAGGCTGGAGCCCCCCTGACCCCCCCTCCTGTCTCCCTGCAGGACCCTCAGCCCCAGAGCAAGAAGCTGAGGACGGAGAGCTGGGAGAGGAGTGTGGGCAAACTCAACAGCAAGGCCCAGCTGGCTGGACTGGTGTCCCTGAGGAAGCAGAAGGCAGATCCAGCCCTGGAAAACGGGATGAAGAGCCAAAACACCGGTACCTGCCTCAGGCTGGGCCCTCAGGGGAGGCTCTGGCAGCTCCCAAGGGGGGTTTGACTCCGTTTTCAGAGCTTGGGGTGAAGCTCCTGCTGTAAGAACTGGGGGCTGTCCGTGCTTCCAAGGGTTTTCCCGGCTCCTTCCGGGCTCCTGGCGCTGAGCCACGGCCTTGGGGGCTGATTGTCAGGGCACAGATGGGACCCTGGGAGCGTCACAACAGCGGGATAAGGGCTGGGAAAGCAGGAGGGTTGCTTTGGTTTGGGGGCCTGCTGATAAATCCTGGGAAACCGGGGGAGTTGGGAAGCTTTTGGGGGCAGAAAACAGGCTGAGTGGCTTCCCAGCACCCAGAGAGCCAGAGGATCCCTGGATTTGGGGAAGGATGGGATTCATTGGTGCTGGGCTGGGTTATCCTGAGCCTTTGGCTTAGGGAGTCCCTCTGTGGGGGATCCCTGAGGGGGAATTTAGGGGATCCTGAGGGGGGATCAGCTCCTAGGGGATCCCTGAGGGGGGTCAGCTCTTGGGGGGATCCCTGAGGAGGGATCAGCTCTTGGGGAATTCCTTGAGGGAGATCAGCTCTTGGGGGATTCCTAAGGGGAGATTTGGGGGATCTCTGAGGGAGCATCAGCTCTTGGGGAATCCCTGAGGGAAGATCATCTCTCTGTGAGATCCCTGAGGGGGATCAGCTCTCTATGGGATCCCTGAGGGGGGATCAGCTCTTGGGGGATCCCTGAGGGGAGATTTGAGGGATCCCTGAGGGGGGATCAGCTCTTGGGGGGATCCCTGAGGGGGATCAGCTGTGGAGAGAGAAGGGGCTCCACAGACCTTGGGCCAACATTGAGGGGTGTGGGGGCTCCATGTCCACCTGATTTATTCCTGTAATTCCCATCAGGATCAGGCCTGGGGTGAATCCCTGGATGGAGCCTCTGGGATGAGGCCAAGCAGGCTGGTGGGATTTGCCATGGGGGGGCTGTCCCTGCTGGTGTCTACCCTCTCCCTCCTCTCCCAGGCTGCAGGGGGCTGTCCCTGATGGTCTTCCCTCTCTCCCTGCTCTTCCAGGCTCCATTTCCACCCCGACCAGCACCTCCACGTCCTCCCTCAGCTTGTTGGGGGCCTACTCGGACAGCGAGGACAGCGAGGACTGAGGAACCACCTCAGCAGGATTGGGATGTTCCTGGATGGCAACAGCTGCCCCTGGAGCCCCACGTGGAGCTGGAAGCACAGCCTGGGCCTAGGGAATTCCAGGCCAGCTGCTGTTCCCAAATCCTGACCCGCAGTGCCCGCCCTCGCTGCTGGCACACGGAGGAGCTGCTCCCGTGGGAAGGGGGTTTCCCTGGAGCAGGGATCCTGTGGGAAGCCTCTGTGCCCAATCCCAGCATCCAGCCAGCCCGGTGTGTGTCCCAGCCCTGCTCCCAGAATGTGTTGGGAAGCACAGGACTCTGCTGTCTCCATCCTGGGGGGGCCCAGGCCCTGTTTTGGGGGCTCACCGACCCTCCCACAGCAGTGAAGGGACCTCAGAGCTGCCCTTCCCACTGGGATGTGGAGGCAAGGTGGGCACTCACCCCTCTGCCACCTCAGGAGGGCCCACCACCCCTTTTTTGTCCCTGGAGCCCAAATCCAGTGTCCTGGAGCTGTGTTGTCTCTGCTCCAAGTGACCCTGAAACCCAAATCCAGTGTCCTGGAGCTGTATTGTCCCTGCTCCAAGTGACCCTGGACCCCTTTTCTGTCCCTGGAGACCAAATCCAGAGTCCTGGAGCTGTGGTGTCCCTGCTCTGAGTGACCCTGAAACCCAAATGCAGAATCCTGGAGCTGTGGTGTCCCTGCTCTGAGTGACCTTGGACCTGTTTTCCATCTCCTGGGGGGCTCAGATCCCACCTTTGTGACTGGATCCTGCCCCCCAGCCCCGGGGGGCTCATCCAGCCCCACACTTTGGGGGTGGGGGTGTCCTGCCAGCAGCCCCCTCCCCTCCCTGAGCCCCCCCCCAGATGTCCCCAGGAGCTCAGTGACAAACCCCTCCCTGTCCTTCCCTGGCTCCAGCAGCCACAACTCCGGAATAAATTGGATTTGTCAGAGCCAGTTGCTTCCTGATCTTCCAGAGGGTGATTTGTACGTGGGCACCGGGGCGGGTCCTGCCCCTGGGGACCCCCCACCCACCCAACTGGGGGCTCCCCTCATCGAGGCACCCCCTTTGCTAATTGCTGAGCGCTAATTAACCTGCTCTCAGAGTGCTCTGGTGGGGGTTGGGGGGCCGGGGGGGGCTGTGGGGTATCAGGGAGAGCCAGGGAGAAAGGCAGCCCCCCCCAGTCCCAATTAGCATTCCATGCACATTCCCTGTAATTGGCCTCTTCAGACATTAATGAGCCTTGGGCTCGGCCCTGAGCTTTTGGGGGGGTCAGGACTTGGGGGTCCCTGGCTGTGTCCCCCCATCCCAGACGTGTCCTACTCCCCCCTCACCCCTCCCAGCACCCCCTGGCACCGCGTGGGACCCCCGAGGAGGGACCCCCCGAGAGGGACCTTTGTTCTGGGGACAATACGAGGGGCATGGCCGGGGGGGGACCCCAAACCTCCGACCCCCCCCCCAGTGTGGTGTCTGAGCCCCCCACCCCAAACCCCGGGGCAGCAGAGCCCCCCGTGCCCCCCTTGATGAGCTCCCCGGGAGGGCAGGGGGTGACCCTGACATTGGGGGGGGCTCCCTGTGCCCCCCAAACCCCCCGGGCTCAGTGCCCCCCCCTCCCGAGCCGTTTCCCCGCCCCCCCTGGGGCAGCCCCGGGAGCCCAGAGGGGTCGGTGGGGGGGTCCCTATGCGGGGGTCCCGGTGACCCCCTCACTTCTCCCACTGTCACACGGCGGGGGGGTCTTTCCCGGTGCCACTCGGGGGTCCCGCTGTCACTTGGGGGTCTCGGTGTCACTTGAGGGTCGCGCTGTCACTCGGGGGTCCCGCCGATCCCCATCACTCGATGGGGAGGGGGGTCACCCATCCCCTCCCGGGGCTGCTCCACTGGGTCCCGGTGACCCCCCCCCTTCTCCCACTGTCACACGGCGGGGGGGGCTTTCCTGGTACCACCTGGGGGTCCCGGTGCCACTCGGGGGTCCCGGTGCCACTCGGGGGTCCCGCTGCCCCCCATCACTCCGGGGGGGGTGAGGATCACCCGTCCCCTCCCGGCGGGGTCCCGCCGTGTCCCCCCCCGGTGGTCTCTCGCCCCCCCCCTCCCCGTGCCGGTGCCCCCTGCGAGGCGGGGGCTGGGGGTGGGCTCGGGGGGGGCCGGGGGGCTCCGGTCCGCGCAGCGCGGCGGCGACACAAAGCGGCTCCGGCGGCGGCGGCGGCGGCGGCGGCGGTGGGGGGGTCCCGGTGGGTGCCGGGGGGGTCCCGGGGCGGTGCCGGGGGGGTCCCGCTGTCGCTCCCCCCGCCATGGCCAAGTGGCTCCGGGAGTACCTGGGCCGGGGGGCCCGGCGCTCCCCCCCCCGCCCGCCACAGCCCGACTACAGCGGTACCGGTACCGGGGGTCCCCCCGGAGCCCCCCCCGCCCTCCGCGGCCCCGCAGCCTCCCCCCGGCACCGCCTGGTGCGGGTGGGGGGCGCGGGGCCGGGGGGCGGCCCCCGCAGGATGGAGCAGGTAGGACCGGGGGGCACCGGGGGGGCACCGGGGGGGCACCGGGGGGAAGCGGCGGCAGCGGGGAGGGAGGTGAAAGGATCGGGGGGCAGTGGGACAGCGGGTTGGGGGGGGGGGCTGGGGAGCGGAAAGGGGGACACCGGGAGCACCGGGAGCACCGGGAGCACCGGGAGCAGGAGCGGGGGAACCGGGGGGGGGGACAAGGGAGGTGGGTTTGGGGCACAGAGAGAGAGCGGAGGGGTGGGGAGAGGGGATGGGGGTCACCAGGGGGCACGGAGGGGATGGAGGGCGAGATGGGGAAGGGGGGCCGGGGAGAAGGAGCGGGGGAGAAGGAGCGGGGATGGAGAAGCGGGGGGAGCCACGGGGTCGGGGGGAAGGGGGTGAGGGGGGCAATGGGGCACCCAGAGAGGACTTGGGGGCACTGGGAGAGCGAACTGGGGGAACCTGGGGGGGCTGGCGGAGTCCCTGGGAGAGGGGGAAGGGGAGAGGGGTCGGGGGACAAAGGGAGCAGGTGGGAGGGAGCGGGGAAGGGGCTGCGGGCACCCAGCGCTGGGCTCGGGGGGGCCCGCGGGGTCCCGGGAGGGCACCCAGGGCACGGGCACCTGCCGGGGGGTCCAGGGGGATCCCATCTCACCCGGGGCACCCACCGGGCCACCCACCCACCTCCCCAGGGCCCTGGTGAGAGCGAATACTCTGAGCCCTTCGAGGGGGAGCAGGACCCCGCGCCCGAGGGCGGCTGCGAGGACGAGCCCGCAGGTGGGTGACACCCCCGGCACCCCCAGCACCTCCCCCGGGGGGGTCCCGGGGTGACTCCCACCGCCCCGTCCCGCCGCCCCCAGGGTGCCCGCGGCAGGGCGAGGGCCGGCGGGGGAGGCCCCGGCGGGGACCGCAACTCTACGACACCCCCTCCGAGGAGTGGGAGGCGGCCGGGGAGGGTCCGGGGGGGCCCCCGGCCCGGGAGAGCCGCCTGCCCCGCGACGACGAGCGCCCGGCGGACGAGTACGACCAGCCCTGGGAGTGGAAGAAGGATCACATCTCCCGGGCGTTCGCAGGTGACGGCGGCCCGGGGGGGCTGGGTGACACCTTGGGGGGCTGGGTGACACCCCGGGGTCCCCATGGGTACCACCCTGGGGTCCTACATCTCCCGTGGGTACCACCCCAGGGTCCTGTATCTCCCATGGGTACCACTCCTGGCTCTCAGTATCCCCCCACCTCCTGTGGGTACCACCCTGGGGTCCCCCAGCTCCCATAGATACCACCTTGGGGTCCTACATCTCCCATGGGTACCACCCCAGGGTTCCCAACTCCCATGGGTACCACCCTGGGGTCCTATATCTCCCATGGGTACCACTCCTGGCTCTCAGTATCCCCCCAGCTCCCACGGGTACCACCGCAAGGTCCCCCAGCCCCACATCCCCCAGTGCCCACGGGTATGGCTCTGCAGCCCCACAGAGGGTGCCTCTCCTGCCCCCCACCATCCTCCAGCACCCCTGGGTACCACCCCAGGGTCCCCCAGCTCCCGTGGGTACCATCCCTGTCCTCCAGCATCCTCCAGTGCCCATGGGGACCACCCCAGGGTCCCCCAGTTCCCATGGGTGCCTCTCCTGCCCCTCCAACATCCTCCAGTGCCCATGGGGACCACCCCAGAATCCTCCAACCCTTTATCCCAGAGATGCCATGGGTGCCACTCCTGGGGTCCCCCCACTCCCATGGGTGCCACTCCTGCCCCCCCAGCATCCTCCAGTGCCCACGGGAACCACCCCAGGGTCCCCCCACTCCCATGGGTGCCTCTCCTGCCCCCCCCCATCCTCCAGCGGCACCCCATGATCCCCCAGCCCCACATCCCTCAGTGCCCATGGGTGTCACCAACACCCCGTGACCCCCAGATCGCTCCCAGCCCCGGTGCCCACGGGTGGTAACGGGACCCCAGGGAGGGGCAGAGCCCCGGTGGGGACACCCCTGGGCCGTCCCTCGGTGGTGTGGGACCAAGAGGTGCCCCCTCCCAAGCAACAGGCAGGGGTGGGGTGACCCCCCCTTTGCCCTGCAGTGCAGTTTGAGAGCCCCGAGCGCTCGCCCAGCCTGTCCCGGCAGCTGCCACGGCCCCCCCGGGCCCCCCCGGGCACCAGGCCGGGCTGCCCCCCCAGCCCCCGGCACGTGGACACCTCACTGCCCCTGGAGAAGCAGGCGTGAGTCTGGGGAGGGCCCTGCCCAGGGGGTGGCATTGGTGCCCTGGTGACACTGCATGGGGTGCAGGAGGCTCTGGGGGGCGGAGGGTCCCCCATGAGTGGGTGGGTGGTTATGGGGTGGAGGGTGTCTCGTGGGTGGGTGGGTGGTTATGGGGTGGAGGCTGTCCCATGGCATGGAGGGTGGGTGCCCCATGGTATGGGTGGGTCCCCATGGCATGGAGGGTGCCCTGTGACGGGGGAGGGTCCTCATAGCGTAGGGGGTCCCTTTGATGGGGTTTGGGTGGAGGGTGTCCCATGGCATGGTTGGCTCCATGGTGTGGGAGGTGCCCCATGGTATGGTTGGGTGGCCAATACCATGGTTGGGTGGCCAATGCCATGGGTGGGTGGCCCATGCCACAGCCAGGTGACCAATGCCACGACTGGGTGGCCAATGCCATGTCTGGGTGGCCCATGCCATGTCTGGGTGGCCCATGCCATGGTTAGGTGTCCATGCCATGATTGGGTATCCAATGCCATGGCTGGGTGGCCAATGCCATGATTGGGTGGCCAATGCCATGGCTGGGTGGCCCACACAATGTCTGGGTGGTCCATGCCATGGCTGGGTGCCCATGCCATGGGTATATGGTCCATGCCATGACTGTGTGTCCAATGCCATGATTGGGTGGCCGATGCCATGGCTGGGTGGCCCACATGATGTCTGAGTGGTCCATACCATGGTTGGGTGCCCATGCCATGTCTCGGTGGTCCATGCCATGATTGGGTGGCCCATGCCATGTCTGGGTGCCCCTGCCATGGTTGTGTGTCCAATGGCAATGCCATGGCTGGCTCCACGCCGTGGGAGATGCCCCATGGCACAGACAGGTCCCCGGGGGGTTGCCCTCCGTTAGTGACAGATCCAAGCGGTGGGGACGATCCCCCACAGCACAGAGGGTGCCCCTGGTGCCCTGTGGTGACCCCTGGTGACCCCTGGTGCCCCGTGGTGACTCCCAACCCCACACAGGTGGTACCACGGCCCCATTGGGCGGGCGGGCGCCGAGACGCTGCTGGCGCTGTGCCGCGAGGGCAGCTTCCTGGTGCGGGACTGCGAGACCAGCCCCGATGACTACTCACTGTCCCTGCGGTGAGCCGGGGGCTGGGGGGGCACAGCACAGCCCCGGGGGGACATGGGGACAGCCCTGGGGGGTGCCCGGGCAGGGGGCAGGGCCGGGAGCAGGGTGATCACCCCCGTGTCCCTCACCGTGTCCCTGTCCTGGCACAGCTCCACACGTGGGGCCAGGCGGGATGGGCACAGGACCCCTTGCCTGGGGTGGGGGCCCCACAGAGGTGCCACCCCCTGCCCCTGCTCTGGGTGGTGTCCCCATCCCTGCCCCCATCCCCCCCCCCCCCCCCTGCTCTGTTTGGTGTCCCCCATCCCCATTCCCATCCCCATTCCCATTCCCATCCCTTGCTCTGCCTGGTGTCTCCGCATCCCCACCTTTGTCCCCACTCCTGTCCCAAACCCCATCCCTATCCCTGTCCCTGCCCCAATCCCAGTCCCCATCCCCATTCCCATCCCTTGCTCTGGATGGTGTCCCCCAGTCCCCATCCCTATCCCTGTCCCCATCCGCATCTTTGTGCCCATCCCTCTTCCAATCCCCACCTTCGTCCCTGTCCCCATCCTGATCTCCATCCATGTCTCAATCCCCATCCCTGTCCCAATCCCTCTCCCTATCCCTGCTCCAATCCCAGTCCCCATCCCCATTCCCATCTTTGTCCCAATCCCTCT